AATGTCCTGGACTACCCGTATGCCGTTTGTTGCTGTTTGTTGGCTTTCGAACGCAAAAAAAGGGGGAGGAGGAAAAACACTCCTGACAGTGATGGATTAAAACCCATTTTATTGTTCTGCTGCTCTCCCCAAAGCTCACCGAACATTTGCACTGGGCACAAACTCCGCATTAATGTCCCAGAATGCACTGTTCTCCGGACACGCGAGATTTTCCCGCCACCACGGTGTCACCCTGACTGATTAGTGGGACATTTTCCATTCTCCCAGAAAAATATAATTCCCTTATGTCAGTGTTAGCTCTTCGGTGTTTAGATAGCCGTAGGTGACATCGCTTTTGAAATTGTGACATTGACACAGTGACTCATGAGTGAGATGAGTCAGTTTCTGTATTGCGGAGTTAAGATCATTGGTAATCCAGTCCACACGTCCTTTTTTGAACTTATTTTCTTTGAAAGGTAATTAAACTTAAAACAAATTATCTCATAAAAGATAAATGCATTATATTAAACAATGTGCATACTCAAGTTTCACTTAACATTATTACTTTTATATATAATCATAATAAAAAGGGAAAAAAAACATTTTTTGTTATTGGAATTAGTTTTACAGTTTTGTTGTATCAACTGTGTTTCAGTGCAGACTGCTCACCTTTAAAAGTGTATTTATTTTATCTCATCTTTGTAATGAAATGAGTAGGCTAATCCCTGCTGTTGGCTTCCTTCCATATCATGTCTTCCCCAATCACATGCAGTGCATGCCACCATGAAATTTTCAAGTTCCTCCTGTTACCACGCTGTGCTCGCGGTCAGGGGCGGTCCACCCAGAAACCATGTGCATTGTAAGTGCGTGTTACATTATTCACTGCAAGCCCATGCCTGGCAGAAGCCCTTTTCCAAAGAAGCCTGTGCAATGTGCTGCAGGACACAGAGGCTCCGTGAAGACAGCAGCTTGGCCATGATGTGGGTCCCCTAGGTCCCCCTTAGGCCCTCTGTTTTCCTCATGCGCGCCAGTCGGGCCCGGAGGGACCGGAGACACTGATGCGTCGCATTGTTGTCTGCCCTTGACCGCGCCGTGGAGGGTGTATCTTCCGATGTGGTTCCACACGGGAATATGCAAGGACTGCAGAAATGCAAAGCGAGGTAGATGGAGAGAGAGAGAAAGAGAGAGAGAGAAAGAGGGATAGAGATGGGCAGTGGAGGAGGAGGAGGAGGAGGCTGCCCCCGTCTCCTCTGCACCATCACGCAGCATCTCCGCAGTCGGGTTTTGGGTTTCTTATTCGCCAGCAAAAAAAAAGAAAAAGATGAAATGGAACAGGATCGATCCCTGAGTCTTGCCTCCACCGGCCATGGTTGGAGGGGGTGAGGGGGGGTTGGGGGGGGTGGTGGAATGTAAACCTCAGCTATACTGCAATGAAACCAAAAACCAAACACCCTCAAACCTCGCAAGTTCATCTTTTTGGCCTTGGACTGGTGGGAAAATGAGCCAGTTAATGATATCTTTTTGCCTTTGAGTAGCATCTGTTCTCACTTTTGATATTTGTTCGATTAGATAATGAGCTCTCCAATTTATATCTATGCATATTATAAATATGTGCATAAAGATAAATGTGCACACACACACACATACGCACAATCGCACACACACACAAAGTATGGCTGGTTGCAGTACTGCCTGTCAGAATGGTGATTTTTTTTGGGCATTGTACTGAAGGTATCAAATGTTTGTCAGCCATTCCTGCAGCTGAAACAATGCCTGACTTTTTGTTGATTGAATCTGTGGCAGTGTAACTCCATTAGTATTGACCGTGAGATGTGACATTCAAACATTCAGAGGCGACTGGGCAAAACCATAAATGTCAAACCAAAAAAAAAAAACCTGAAATTTGATGTTGTCTCCCTCACACAAACTCGGCAATCACCCATATCTGATGACCATCTCCTAATCTAATGCTGTCATAAAAATAGTCTGGCAGGTATAGCAGGCAGACGCTGATACATAAAGGGTGAAGGGGTGCAGAAACAGCTGTGCGCTACCGATGGGTGAGTGAGGTATTGTGGCACCAAAAATGGATGGGACCACTTTTAGCTGTCAATCACTTACTCACTTCAACCAATCAGAAGGTTTTGCTCTTCACAGTAAGACACAATGATGGGTGTAACTCAGTGACACTCCACCACGGTTACGATAAGGTAGCTCCATCCTTTTTGGGTGGCGTGATACCTCATTCTGCTGTCACTGATGTATGTAGATTGTTTTTTTTAATTCCGTTGTTTTTTTTTTTCCAAGACACTGTGCCCCACGTTCTGAGACGCTTTGGCTCTCTGTTTCCTAAATCCCACATGCCCCAGAGTCAGGGTTTGTGAGGAAATAAGTGCGTCTGCATGGAGGAAGGCTAATAGGCTATAACATCTGTTGGGTTCAATTAGGTGTCCTCTCATTAAAACAGATCCTTAATTCACACAAGGCCCATAATGAACACCATTGGTGGGTTTTGTTGTTCATGTTATAATTAGAAATATTGCTGTTGCAGAAACGTTTGACGCACACACTCACACACAGAGACAGACACACACACAAACATAGTCGCACACAATATGCTCTCTCCTGCGAATTGCTGAATCGTGGATAGGGAGAAACATTTCCATTTGAACGGTAACCGTATGTTTTTTTTTTGTCTTTCATGAGGCATGAAAAGTCTCTCTGGTTTTGATTTATGCTCCGTGGTTTGTTTTTTTTTTTTTCACTGCCGATATTAATGTAGAAAGCAAATAATCAGATTTGGAAAACAAAAGCAATCTATAACTCTGTCAATTACTCAGATGACTCCCGTTTTATTCGAGAAGCAGGCGGGACAGAATTGCGATTAGCCCACAGAAAACCAAATGCGTCATAGCGCAGAGGCTAGCTAACCGATGGGGTCTGTGACCTATGAAATCATTGAATATTTCAAACAATAATCTTTTAAGTTAAACCAATTGTCTGTCACAGAGGAGACAGTCCCAGGGCCTGTATTCATGAAGTGGCTAAGAACATTAGGTGCTGATCCAGGATCAGTTCTCTGACTGATCCATTGTGACCTTAAAAGGCAAAGCTGATCCCAGATCAGCATTTAAGAGAGAATGTCTCATGATGTGATGGTTCACTGATCCCTGAGTTTGTCACTGTCCAGGTTTTTTTTTTGCTTTTATCATTGCAAATGGAAGGGTGAAATGAGAAGGACCAAAAGCTTTTTTGTTGTTTTTTAAAGAGGGCGAAAAGATGGACAGCAACGCTCACCACCTTCTTGTGAAATTAGCCCTGGCGAAGTACGTCGTTAATGGGGCGATTAGTATGTGCAATCACAGCCCGGCCTTCTCCTGCGGTGGCTGGAGAATGGCGCGGCGGGGGTTTGGGGCCGGCCGTATTGATTCATCCGCGTGGCATTTTTTCCCTACTCATTTCCGAGCCCCTTAATCAGCCCCAGTCCCGACGGGAACGTGTAACGGACCGGGATGTTCTTGTCATATTAATGAATTTATTTATTTATTTATTTTTGTTGCGCCAAGGAAGCAAACACGCCTGTTTGTCACAAACATAATCTCCCTCTGGCAGGTGGGCTTGATTGCTCTCTGTGTATTTGTTTATCGGATATGACGAATTTGCTTCGCTCGCCTTTCTCACTCGCCATCCAAATTTCTGACGTCCTCTCGGCCCACAGCTGCATTTCCGATGCGTAGGACCTCTGATGCCAGAGGTGACGTCTGGATTAGGTGCAGGGGGTGGGTGGGGGGGGGGTAGGAAAAGTGCTTATTTAAAATGTTTATGAGCTTCCTCACTGCAGACTGGGGTAGACAGGAATTGAGGAGGTAGGCAGGCATTAGAGATCCACTCAAAGTGCTTAGAGCAGGAGGCTGCCATCCTCCGGGAAAAACCTGTCTCCGTTCCGATGGGCAGGGGAAGAGAGATGCATCTTCAGAGAGCCAGACATTACAGAAACCTCACAGGTGAGCTGCTCTGGGCAGTGCTTCATTTGGCTTTAGTGCTGGCAGCAGGAAACTTTAAACCAAGTCCGAGGGTTATGTTTTCTGGGCTTTTCGGTTTGAAATAACTAAAACAACTTAATTGCTATTAATTAGAGGCATGTGTTTATTTTACATGTCTGTTCTTTTTAAAGTGCTGTTTGTCTTAGACTGTATATTGTATGTGTTGAGGTTGGAGCACAGGTGAATTATATTAGTTGCTATTTTTTGTGCACGTTTTTATTGCTAACTGAAATATTTTTCCACTGCTGTAATTGCTCCACAAATCACTCTATAAATCATTTTAATTTAATTTCCTTAGCTTTTCTATTTTAGTCATAATTTAATAGACATGTGTGGATTTATAATGATTGAAAACCTTGATTATGCACCATTGATAACTGAAGTAAATGAAGCATATTCATTCTTAATTTTTGTTTATTTGAAAATAGCAAGGAGTTTTCTTTGATTTTATTTCATTTTAAAAGCTATGGTGATGAACTGAGACCGCACTCCTGATTGAATATGGAGCACTCAGTAATCACAGCCTCCACGAATGGATGTCCAGTCAGCAGCATCTGCAGATATATTTAGTGTCAAGGATAGTTCATTCAAGGGTAACTGCCCAGCATGTTCCATTGACATTAGCGATAATATTTCTCATCGATATCCATTGTTTCCTGCTGATTCAACAGCTATTTCTTTCTTTTTTTGTGTGTGTTTTGTACTGATCAGTGACTGAGCCTGAGCTCAGGGTGTGCTTGTGTTTAGATCAGTCTTGTGTTTATGGATTTCTTATTGTCACAGTCAGCAAATGCAGCGAGGCAGTGCAGTGTCTGTGATTTTTTATTTTGTGGTCAATTTCTTGAGTGCTTGGCCGATAGAGGCATTTCCCTGAAGGGGGGGTGGGGGTTGGTTAGAGTCATCTGTCCCCGTCGATTCTGCTTGGTCATCGACGGTTGAAATAATGATGGATCACCTGTGTATGTTGGTGCCAGTGGCAGCTGTGTGGCTCATTGGTTAGTGGACTGTGCTATTAACACAAAGGTTGCGGGTTCAATTCCCTGTGTAGAGTGCAGCTTTTGTACCCTTGAGCAAGGTATTTCCCTTAAGTGGCTAAAGCAAATATCCAACTGTGTAATCTTAGGTAATTTATAATCTGTGTGTAAAACTGTAAGCTCCTTAAATCGCTCTGGATAAAGGTGTCTGTTAACTGCCTAAATATATAACTAAAAAGTCCACAGCCTATCCTGACAGAACGGTAAATGAAGTCTTTCCTCTTGTCTCTTCTGGCAGCGGCCACCAGCACCACTCCTTCTGTGAAGACTTCCAGTCATGTGATGCCATGCAGCGAGAGCGAGAGGAACTACTGCGTGAATGGAGGAGAGTGCTTCACCCTGGAGATCAAACCTGGGGAACTCAAGAATCTCTGCAGGTAGGACACACACACACACACACACACACACTCAGACCCCTTACCTCAAGAAATCAAACTGAAATCAGTCACTTTTTAAGTTACCTTTCACCTTAGAGACACAATTTGTTGGTCTCTGTTCTCTTGCTATAATAGCCCTGGGAAAATAATCTGTTACACAGTGAAGCCTGCCACAGAGCTCAGCTGAGGAACTCTAAACTCAGCCCAACGCAGCGTCTCGTTTTATGCCCTTAGCCAATTGTGGATGTGTATTCAAAACTACTGGGCATTTGAGTCCCAGCCATGCTATTACCAGCTATGTCCATTGGTATGCAACAGATAGGCAATGATTGGCTCACCATTACCAGGGAAAGATCAAGGTTAAGCCAGTTGAAATTATCAGTCTCGTCACCCTCTGTAGACCAATCCTGGCCAACTGGGTTTCCACTAGAGTGTGAACTGGTATTTTGTGAGTTTTTGTTCCTTCGGCAACACAGGTAGCATGTGATTGTTGATGCATCGGCAGCCCTAGGGTCACCAAGGTAACCTGATGGGCTCTACACAGGGTGGGAAAATAAGGGAGAATGTAAAAAAAAATGAAGATTACCTGATACCCACTGCACTGCGAAGGAGGAACAAAACTGCACACAGAAGAGTTACTGTTTTTCTTTAATACTCCCCCAGCGTGGAAACTTCCAGTGAATACACAGGAAATCCCACAAGGTTAAAACTTCTATGACTTAAACATTTCCAATTTTCAGTCAGTCTTGGTCTAATACAGAAAAGCCACCCACAGGCTGACTGACGGAATCTGAATGAAGCCGCCGTTTGTTCAATCTTCAAAACCAAACAAAACTGAAAAGGACGGCACTACCGACTGGAATTGAGATTCCCCATCCCCCCCCCCCGCTCCCACCCCCCCATCGCTCGTAAGGACGCGCACACCGCCGAAACTGGCGCTGACTGATCAAATCGGTCGCGTTTAGCAGAGAGTCTAGATTCTTTCAGAAGAGCGCTGTGTGGCAGGTGCTGTACCCACTCCCTAACCCCATCCAAGTGCATGCTACTTCCAGCAATGACAGCTGCTGAGACAGAGGCAGGGGGTGTAGGTGATCTGGCTAATTAATTTGACTGATTAATGTGAATGTCTGCGTAATTGGCTTCACTTCCACTCATCATCTGCATGTAACCCATTCAGTTATTCTTAGGTTTTTTTTATATGTCCTAAAACAGTCAAATGCACTCTTTCAAATGCACTCGATGAAAACTTAGTGAGTTTCAGTGTACTTTTTTTCCCTGTCATACATGTCCTAAAACAGTCAGAAGTAGTTTCAAATACACCTAGTGAGTATGACATGGGAAAAAACAGACTTGAGACTCACTCTGTTCATATGTAAGTGGATTGTGTTTTTTTTTCACTGTGTTGTTTTATTTCATGAATGTGTTTGCTATTAACCTTATGCATTGCTGCTTTCCACTGGTTTAAAATGTTTACAGATTTCACGCTGTGATTTCGTCGGTGCACAGTATGTTTTCGTTTTAAAGATGTAAAAAGTGTGAAGAGAATTTGTACAGCTGGCCTCCTTGGGTGCAAGGTTTGACATTTGTAAACTAACACTCTCCAGGATGGGTGGGTGGGCGGGCAGAGTGTAGCAACATCTAAACATCCATTTTTGTCGGCTAGTGAGAGGCAACACCGTTGATGAACATGTGTCTGAAAGCGTGTAGGTGTCAACTGAATGTTTTGGGGAAAGGGAGAGAGGGGGAGGGGAGGGAATTGGGAATAGGCTGTCGTATTTCTGTAAAACCCTGTGGATGAAGCACATCATGGCGGTGTGGGGGGGGACGCTGGTGGAAGAGCGTCAGTCTGACGACTGTTTTGCGTGATGATGATGATGATGATGATGATGATGCTTTGAGAGAGGTAGGTGGGGGGCGTGTTTGAGGGAACGGGAAAGGGAGAGAAAGAGGGAGAGAGGAACAGGTGGAAATCCCTCAGCTAAGGGTCCTGTGGGGGCCCTGCATTATTAATGCCTGTTATCTCCACCCTGCGTGCCACACCGCACTGCACCGCGGTTAATAATACACACTCCCGCCCCCTCCCCCCCACCATCACACCGCCAGCTCTTACATTTATGAAACGGCTCTTTTCCTCTATCACACCAGCGGAACCAGGGCAAGATTCTCCTCATCCTGACACCAGGGATAATCTACCCTCAGACTTTTTTTTTTTCGTAACAAGCTGCAGGTTCTTCAAAGTTTTAAGTGACTCTCATTATTTCAGACTAAATTAATCCCCTCAGTTTTGTTTCTTTTCTCTTTTTTTTTTTGCGGGCTGCTCATTTTAGCATTCACAGCCCAAGGTTGATTAATCATTTTTTGGGGGGGGGGGGGGGGTGTGGCAGGTGAGATGGGTGAGGGTAGGTTAAGTTTGTCGCTAGGGAGGTTGAACCGTAATCCTCGGAATGTAAGCCTAATGATGTGCTGACACGCTAGGCTCGACGGGGTTAATGCTCTTCCCACTGCTGACAGACAGCTTCCTCTAGCGGGGCTCATTGGAGACCAGCGGCCCTGAAGATGCAGCGAGCCCAGCGCCTGCTTAAACAAATCAAGCTGCTCCTTCCAACTCGGCAGGTCCTATCGCTATGAGCTGCAAATGAGACAGCCATACGCCATGCGCAGCTGGGCTGTAATAAAACAATGGGGGAAAAAAAACATGTTTTTGTTTTGCTGATTTTTAAAAAAAATATTTTTAATCAGAATCACATTCATTTGGTAAAACATAAACCAGTTTTAACCCAATATTTCTACAGTTTCCTTAGATTTCCCCCCTCTGAAGTCATGGCTGTGCCACCCACACTTGTAAGAAGCTCTGCTTCTGAAGCTCACACATTCTTCTGGGGTGGGCTCCCCTACACGCTCCAGGCTGCTGGCTAAATGCCGTTGCTGGAGGGGAACCGTGTCTCTCGCTGATTGCCATCAGCTTGGAGCAAGCACTGCACCCATTGGCTGACCTCCACACATCCAAGACCGGGCCTTGTACCTCAGAGTCGGACTCCCAGTCATAGCTGGATAACGGCTCAGAAAAGAAAAGCTGACACCTGCACTTCGCGAAGGTGAAGGGCCGTCAGAGGCCTCGGCGAATGCCATGACCGAGGCACCAGAGAGACAACCCCAGATTTGACACGGTGTAAATCATCTTGTGTTTTGTCAGTCCATCTGTGATATGGTGGAACCTGATGAAACGTTTGATGTGATGGATGTGGCGTTCCCTTTCCCATCGTTCCCAATGGCACTCATCACGCAAGAAAAGAACGATCTGTCGAACACGCTCCTCTACGAATGACTCCTCCAAGGCGTGGTAAATGGGGATGTGCAAAGCCAGAGCTCTGCAAGGAAAACTGCAGTTCTCTTTGATCAGCGCAGACGCATTAGATTAATGCGCTGCAGTGGACAAAATTGTCACATAGTGTATCAGATTACCCCCCCCACCCCAAACTTACATTTAATTCCCTTTAAAAAATGTCCTTTCTCTCATACTGTTATGCATAGCTGCAGTTGGAGGACTATACTTTTCACAAGTAGTTTCCACTCCGGCTCCAAAGAACATACTGGATGGTCTCTTATTCATGAACCATGAAAAATAAAAATGGAAGATGTTCGTGAGCTCCTTCTCTCACCTTCTCCGCTGCGCACTCAAGTCTCCCTCTTTCAGAAAGTCAGAGCGGAGCGGAGCGAGGATGAGAGAAGCATTTCAGGCAAGGCGACAGAGAGGCTCGCCTGTGAAGCTGACTGTCTGGGGATCGCAGGTGGCTCACGGAGTCGTGGCGCCTGTTTTGTTTTGCAGTATTTGAGTCCCAGCCGCGACCATTACCGGCTATGACCAATGGTCCGCATTGACCATCGAGGCCATAATTGGCTCAGCCTTGCCTGGGTAAGATTAAGGGTAGGGCTGGGTACCTGCAGATGCATGATCCGAGTATATACTGACTTACCGTGCTTTCGAAAAGCGTAGGGAGTGTGCGACCAGTGATGCATCTGCAGTGTGTGACAGAAACGAGGACCGGTCAACATGTGAGTTGACATTTTCGAGGCTTTCTCCCCCTGATTCGGTTGGGAGAGGGTCGCTGTAATAAGCTGATAAGATCGTTTTGGGGGAAAAAGCTGAGCCGAGTCTCAGACAGGTATAGGGTGTCCCTCGTCCCTCTCGCTACCTCGCCCGCTCGCTGCGCCGTTTCCAACTGCCACTTACAGCAATGCGCCAGTAGCCGCGGCGTCGCGCTATGCGTCGCGCTCTGCATCGCACTCTGCATCACTCCCCTCCCTCTGATCCCTTAAGCACTTGACACTGGAATTGACATTGCCAAGGATACGCCTTGGCTCCCGTCCATGTGAAGCATAAGAGGGACAGCACTCTTGCTGTCCACAGAGAGATTGAGTTTCTCCTTTAATTCTTCAGTGACTAAGCAGAAAAATGCTGCTGTCTCGCAGGGCATTGTTGCCTTTTAGCAAACAGGTCATGGGCTCAGCAAGAGAGGGAGTGTGTATGTGTGTACGTGTGTATTCAGTAAAATAAAATGTGTGTGTATTTGTCTATCCATTATAGATGATTTGGAAAGATATCTGTATCTTTGAAAATAACCTGTTTGGCAGCAGCCTGT